TGCCAGACATTACGTGCCCTACTTACACTACCTATTAGGATCCAAAGACTTGTTTGTTCTAGCTTTAAAAAAAAAAAAAAAAAAAAAAAAAAAAAAAGACTTGGCTAATCAATTTGAAATAAGTTGTCACAAAGAAAATTTCTGGTTGGTGGGAACTGAAAGCTCACATAGGCTGATTACTACAATTGACATCATGGAGCCTAATAGAAGAGGAAGCAGACAGAGGAAAAAGAGGAAATGGGAACAGATTGGTGGGGGCTGGGAGGCATATAAAGCAAGTAAGAGGCAAGTCAGGAGCCACCACAGTCCCTACAGGTTTTTTGCTTTGTTTTTGTTTTTCTTGGGGGGGAGTCCAGCCCTTTTTTAAATTTTGAGACAGGGTCTCCCAAGTTGCTTAATGCCTCGCTGGTTCTGAGGCTGGCTTTGAACTTGGCGATCCTGCTTCAGCCTTCCAAGTCACTGGGATTACATGCATGCACCACCATGCCTGGCAGTCCCTGCCATTTCTGAGACCTGGTTCTACTTTTCCCCAAATGGGGGCACTTGTGAATAAAACTCAATTTGTTCCTGGAGTAACCTGAAACTAACAGAAACCCTCATTAGGTGTGTCTTTAGTTTTTAAATTTCTAGATAGAAGATAACTTTGTGTTTTTTTGTTTTGTTTACTTTTGGTAGTGATTTTGTTTGGAAGTAAGGATTGAACTCAAGGTCCACTGAGCTAGATCCTAGGCACCTTTTGCCCTTTTTGTTTTCTTATTGGGGGAGGGGGAGCAAGAGAGGGTCTCATTAAGTAGCTTAGTGCCTTGTTAAAGTTGCCTCAAAACTTGCAGACCTCCTGCCTCAGCTTCCCAAGTCACTGGAATTACAGATATGTGTCACCATGCCCAGAAAGAGGAAGATGTTCTAAAAACATTAGTGAGGAGAGAAATAGTTGCCTAAGAAAAAGATTAGCATCAGATTTCTACAACACCAAATGGCAAAGAAGAAAAACACCACAGAACAACATGCAGCATTCAGAAGCCCCCGAGTTCAATCCCTGGTACCCTACCCCTGCCAAAAAAAGAAAAAGTATAAATAATTGTGGTTACTCTGACAATGAATCTCAGTGTAAGTGTCCAGATAAACAAAAAATTAAATGCTTAATAATTTTAATAATTTTAATAATTTTAAATTCAAGATTATTCCAACACAAATAGGGAAACAAGAGTTAGAAGGTAGGGAAGAGGTAAAAACATGCTAAATAAGTAATGTCAACAGATACTATGTTATTTTTAACTTGGAAGAACATGATTTTAATTTTTTTAATTTAGTGGAAACCCCAATGTTAAAAAAGAAGTTGGGCTGCGGTTGTGGCTCAGTGGTAGAATGCTTGCCTAGCACATGCGAGGAACTGAGTTCAACCCTCAGAACCCCATAAAAATAAAGACGTTGTGTCCATCTACAACGAAAAAAAAATTTAAGTCAGTTTTTCCAAGTTTTAACTAGTAAATAAATCATTAAAATAACTAAAGATACTTGAATAAGATGCTAAAGAACAAAGGGGAATTGAGGAAGGGTTAATCAAAACAAAGCATAAAGTAGAGGAACAGTACCAAATAAATGTACTGATCACATATAATAAAATAAACACTATCGGGCTAGGGTTGTAGCTCAGCTTGCCTCGCACATGTGACGCGCTGGGCTCAATCCTCAATACCACATGAAAATAAATAAAAGATATTGTGTCCATCTACAGCTAAAAAAAAAAAAATGAAGTACTGCATTACCAAACGATTTTTAAATGATCCCAAATGAATAAAACCAAACGTATAACCACACTTACACAGGCAAATGCAAAGAAGCCAGTTATGGCAGATATATGCCAAAACATAATTCTGAAGAAAAGGCATTAAATGCGATGAAGAAAACAAGATAAACATCAGTCATGAAGTAATCTTCAAGTTCCAAATAATATATCTCCAAATGAAGGGGAAAATTTAGACATACAAAGAAAAAATGAAGATTATCATGGGAACAGTGAGACTGTCAATGTTGGAAACAGGAATTAATCTGCACAAAAGAACAGTTACCTGGAACTTTAGCATCCTCTTGTAAGAGTGAATCCTGTTAAAGAAAAGTTCTCAGAAGGTACTTTCCTTTAGCTGAGGACCTTGATTTGGGGATCTATAAAGATAAACCTGGAATTTGGATAGGGGGATTTTAGTAAGTTTGCTTAAGAAAGGCAAGAATTTGAAATTCTTGGGGTGGTCCTGGAATTGGAGGCTGAGGAGAAGAGATGGAGAGAACAAAAGGAAAGAGAAACATAGCAACATTGTGTGAGTCCAAGGTCCCAGCTGGGGTAACATGGCCAATGAAGACCCTGGCAGTGCAGTGACTACGATGATTTTAGAAAGAGATGTTTGCTATTTCAGTTGGCACCCTCATTCTTTTGTCCTTCCTAGTATTTATTCACTTGTTTTAAATTTTCAGACTAATCATTAAAATTAACTTCACTATCATTATCAGTAATTAAATCTAAGTATCAGTTTTCAGTATTTATCATTGTTTATATTTCGTGTCTTTGATTTTCTTTAGTTCTTTACATTAATTTAACTTGGCTGAAATATTTCCTGTTTTGTTTTTTTTTTCCAGAAAAGCTAAGTTAGGGATATGCTTTCTAATTCTACTCTTAGTTTAAAATTGCTTTTTTTTTTGCCTTCACACAAAGTATAATTTTGGTCACAATTCTTTTTCCACAGAACTCTTAGCTTCTGATGTTTACTACTGCTGAAATGTTTCAACACTGGTCTGGGTTTTTAAATTATATATAAACTTTTGTTTCCTATTTGTATGTTTATATGGTTTTAATATTTTTTAGTTTTGTAGTTGTAAATGGATAAAATGCCTTTGCTCATTTTTAAGCAGTGCTTCACATGCTAGGCAAGCACTCTGCCACTGAGCTAAAGCCCCACCCCTGTTTACAGGGTTTTATTTTTATCTTTGCAAAAAAGAAATTTTAGTAAGTCTAGCTGTTTTCATTTTTTTACCCACAACCTTGTCTTTTATTATTAAATACTTTTAATCTTAAGCCTTCAACAGATGTTTTATCTCTTATTATGGCTGTTCCTCCATCACTTTCTCTCACTTTGCAATATCACAAATCAAGCCTCTCTCCCTGAACAGTATTTCAGAAATAGTGTAGAGTTAAATACGAGAGTGGCATAGAAATGGCACTAAGTAGGGCTGGGGATGTGGCTCAAGAGGTAACGCGTTCGCCTGGCATGCGCGGGGGTGTTGGGTTCGATCCTCAGCGCCACACAAAATAAAATAACGATGTTGTGTCCACCGAAAACTGAAAAATGTTAAGAAAAAGAAATGGCACTAAATAATATTAGCTCCATCATCTCTGTCATTAATTCCCTTAATGTGTATAAACCCGAAAAAGTAACCACCAATACTGCCCTTTTGTCCCCAATTACTTAAATGGCTCTAAAAAAACAATTCCATGGTAACCAGGTTACTGCATTAAACTTCAGACCATCTCCTTAATTTCTTGTGTGTGTGTGTGTGCGCGCGCGCGCGCGCGCGCGCGCATATACAGAAAAAAAAACAAGAGAGCTCTATATATCTATATCACCTATAGATAGATAGATACAGAGATATACAGAGAGGGAGAGAGACTGATGCCCTGAGCATCTATGCTCAGCCATTATTACTGCAAATGGACAAATCCAACCTCACTGAGACTCAGCTTTTGGGGAGATTTTTGTTTAGTTGGTTCTTTAGTCTTTTTTTTTTTTTAATCTATAAATAAAGTAAATGTCTTACCTGTCTGTTTCTTTGAAAAGTTCCATTGTAAATATGGAATAAACAGCCACTGCTAATATAGGAATGAAGGTATGTTTAGTTGAACAGAAATGCTGTGAAGTAATGCTTTGCAATTGAAGAGGTTAAAATATGTTATTCAATGACATATTAAGTAAACCAGACATTTGAAAAACAGCAGGTTCAAAACGATCGTTCACATTTTTAAAAAAATGAAATTCCCCTGTGAAAGACACTGTCCTTACTCTCGAGGATTCCGTACAGATTTTGATAATAACTCATCTTTTACGCCTACCCAAATGATTTAGTTGCTTCTTCACACTATTATTTGTATAATGCAGTATATAAGTAACTGGCCCTGCTTCTTTGGATCTTTATTTTTTTGTTAAATCTACAGTACGACATTAAATTTGCACTATCCGTTTCTCCTTTTAATCCACCTTATGTCGCTTTAATTCTAGGAGCCAGCTGGAACTCTTAAGAAAATGGAGGTAGAGTGTTCCTCTCCCTACACATCAACAAAGCATACAAAATCATGATTAATTTTAGTCTATAAGATGTCCTTCAGACGTTTTAAAAGGTGAATAGTAAAGTTTCTAACATACAGTACATTGAAACGCAACTGCCAAAAATTTTGCTAATTCCTTCACTTTAAAAAAGTTCAATCTTGGACTGGGGGTACAGCTCAGTTGGTAGAGTGCTTGCCTGGCATGCACAAGGGCCTGGGTTCAATACCTAGCACAAAAAAAAAAGAAAGAAAAAAAAGTTCAATCTGCGGGAAGTAGGAGTGGAAACAAAATTAAACATAAAAAAAACATTTCCTTGCCTGCTCTAACTTGTATTTCCGCTTCATACTACACAGACTCCCATCAGCTTACAGCCTTCACCCACGGGCGAGCGTAAATAGTATCACCCAACTTTGGTGTGAAGCGGGGAACGAGGAAACGTTTAATTAATTAATAAAAAATAAATGATAATCCACGCCCCTAAAGCACTCCAAAGGGAGAAAAATGGAAAGGAATAGTTCTCAGTCTTCTCGCGAGAAGAAAGATTAACAAGCCACGTCAATCCAGACGTCACGGCTCCGAGTGACAGGTGCTGGAACAAACCGGCGTTGAAAAGCAGCGAACGCAGGGCCACTTTGGTGGGCCGGAGTTCCGCCGGAAGAGCGGGTGGTTTCGTAACTTCCGGCTGATTTTCTGTGGGCGGAGTCTGTGCTGTCTGTGGACATGGCTTGCGCCGCCTCACGGTCCCCGGCGGACCAAGACAGGTGAGTCCTGAGCTGGGGGCCAAAAAAAGGGGTAGGGGGGCCTTGCTGCGATGCCGCAGATGCTGGGCCGCAATTCCCCACCCCCAGATCTTGAGAAGGACTTGGCCCCCTGCGCTCGACGTGAGCCTCAGACTTCACGTCGTCTTTCCCTGGCCGGGAAGCCTGCAGTACGAAGCTTTTCGCAGGGTCGCTAAATTCCCGAGCCTAGGTATCTCAGTCTTTGTATCAGAAAAAGAGGATTTGAGGTGCTACGAGGTCATGAGTTAGAATAACAAAGTTTTTAATACTCCCTACGCTGTGCTTTTGTGCAGAAAGGTGGACTCCACCCTCGGGAACTTTTGACGGGCAGCTTTGCTTAACGTTAACAGTTACCGTATCGGTTTTTGTTTTCGTTGTTGTTTTTAACCTTCTCTAACAATAGTGTTCTATTTTTCCATAAGATAATGAATAGTTTTCTTTTTAAGTGAATTAAGTAAAAGGCAATTTAAAGAAAAACTATTAATTAAGCAATTAATAGTGTAAATGTCCCTGCCACGAAGATGGTGACTGGAACACTGCTCTAGTTATAACAGCTGTGCTTCTTTCTTCTGTGTCAGGTTTATTTGTATCTATCCTGCTTATTTAAATAATAAGAAGACCATCGCGGAGGGAAGGAGGATCCCCATAAGTAAGGTGAGTGGTGACTGGTATCTAGGACAGGGAGGTTGTCCTAACGGGCCACAAAGGTTTCTTTTACTTCACTTCATTTCTTTAAGGCCTAAGGAGAACAGCAGCCAAGATTAGAGTGCTTTCCTTAATGTTGATGAAGCCGGAAAGACGCTGTTGCATAGGTTGAAGGGATTTTTGAAACAGTTCTTAATGAACCTGTGTTTGTAAAGAATAAAATGGGGTGGGGGAGTGTCTGTTTTAACCATAATTATGACAGTCTTCACCAAGAATTGAACCCAGGGGTGCTTAACCACTGAGCCACATCCCCAGCCCTCTATTTATTTTTTGAGACAGGTCTCTCTAAGTTGTTTATGGCCTCCCTCAGTTGCTGAGGCTGCAGTCTTCCTGCTTCAGGCTCCCTAGTGGCTGGGATTACAGGCATGTGCCACCCAGCTCTGCAGTTTAAAGAGGTAAATTTACTTTAGTACTTTTTAAAAGGGAAGAATCAGGTCCTGGGGATGTAGTCAGTGGTAGAGTGCTTGCGATAGGAAAACTCAAGTTTTCAGGTGGTCTGTTGGCTTCAGTTTGGAAATTGCCCAATGCCAAATTAAAGACATTCTTACTTGTTTTGTTGTTTGTAATATGGATTGAACCCAGGGGTGCTTTGCCACTGGTAAAAATTATTTTTTTAAGAAATTATTTTTAATTTTTGAGGCAGGGTGTTGCTTAGTTGCTAAGGCTGGCCTCAAACTTGGGATCCTCCTGCTTCAACCTCTCCAGTCACTGAAATTACAGGCCTGCACCACCATGCCCAGTGTGTCATAGAATATTTTTATTTTTATTTTGGGGGTGGGGACCAGGGATTAAACTCAAGGGCACTTGGCCACTGAGTGACATCCCTAGCTCTATTTTGCATTTTATTTAGAGACAGGGTCTCACTCAGTTGCTTAGTGCCTCACTTTTGCTGAGGCTGGCTTTGAACTCGTGATCCCCCTCCTGCCTCAGCCTCCCGAGCTGCTGGGATTACATGCCACTACTAGCCATATTCTACATTTAAAGAGTCATTTACATTGTATAATCTAATGACAAGTTTAAGGCAAATTGGTCTGAAGCAATGAATTAAATATTTTTATATTATTTAATGTCTCTCATTTTGCTGCTTTTTCAGTGTGTAAAGTCTACTTTGCTGCCTCAGGTGAAAAGAGATACCAAAGCACTTGTTCTGGAATAATGCCCTGTCAAGCCACTGTGACAGATTCTGTCAGAAGAATGGCTGAATTTTTTAAACTTTATATATAACATATATAAATTTAATAATTCAAGCAATTTTCACAATGGGAGTACATCTGGGTAACAAGCCCACAAATTTTAAAAACATTATCAGCTATAGGAAGATTTCTTATGTCTTTTCCCAGTCAGTGTCCCCTCCACAAATGTTCTCTTATATAAGGATAACACTATCCTGATTTCCAGCACCGTACATTATACTTGCTTGTTCTTGAATTTTATATAAATAGGATTATTTGCTGTGTACTTTTATGTCTTCTTTTCACTGAACTTTAGGCTTATAAGATTGGTCCACATTTTTGAGTGTAGGTTTTTGTTTATTTTTTATGTTTTTTTGCTGGTGATTGAACCCAGTGCCTTGTGCATGCTTAAGCATGTGCTGTCCCCCTGAGCTAACCCCTAAACCCTTTGAGTGTAGTTTAATTCCCATTGCTCTGTAACAGTTTCCCAACAACAACATCATTGACATTTTGAGCCAGGTAATTCTTTATATAGTGGTATGTCCTGTGCATTTTATAATGTTTAGCAACATCCCTGGCCTCTGCCAACTAGATGATAAATATCCATCTCTTCTAGTTATCACCAAGCATAGCCAAATGTCTGAAAAGTGGGGAGGAAAGTAAAATTCCCTTGCTGGAAACCACTACCAGCAGTATACTACATTCCTTTGTTCTCTTGATGGATTAATTAGGTTGTTTCTAATTTGGGGGCTATTACAAATAATGCTGTGAGCACTCTTGAGCTTGTCTTTGATGAACATATTTTTTTATTTCCATTGGGGGGGGGAATATACACACACACACACATACATATAGGATGAAATTTCAAGGCCATAGGGAAACATAAATTAAACTTTATTAGATACTGCTTCTTAAGTGGTTATATGTGTTCAACCAGTCAATATTCATTAAGCACCTACTATAGTCAAAGTACCAATCTAGATGTTAGAGAAAATACTGGTGAATAAAACAAAGTCATTGCCCTCATTAAATTTATGTTCTGGTTGGAAGAAAGACACACAAGTATGAATCAGTGTAATTCCCAGGGATTTTTAAAATTGAAAACACTACCTAGTAAGAAAAGATAGGGTTTAGATAAATCTTTGTTTTGTTTTGTTGTAAATGGCCAGAGTGCCTTTATTTTATTTGTTTATTTTTATGTGGTGATGCGGATTGAACCCAGTGCCTCATACATGCTAGGCAAGTGCTCTGCCATTGAGCTACAGTCCCAGCTCCTAGGTACATGTTTTGATCATAGTATTTAAAGTGATTTATACAACTGTATAACAGTATTCTCTTAAAGCTAAGCTATTTAATGTTTTTGTTTTTAACTGTTCAGGCTGTTGAAAATCCTACAGCTACAGAGATTCAAGATGTATGCTCAGCAGTTGGACTTAATGTGTTTGTTGAGGTATGATGTGATTCTTCCTTCACTATTTTCTGTACTCATTGATATGATGACTTTCTTAAAAGCCTGTTTTTGTTTTGTTTTATTTACATTAGAAAAATAAAATGTACTCTAGAGAATGGAATCGTGATGTTCAATACAGAGGCAGAGTCCGGGTCCAGCTCAGACAAGAAGATGGCAGCCTCTGTCTTGTACAGTTCCCATCACGTAAGCTTTTTTTAATGAATAAATAAACTTTAGGAATATGTTTTTCTTCTATGACACAACAGAGGTTTTAAAACTGACCTTTTGAAAGGTATAAATGAATTAACATTCTACATATTAATTTAGAGAAAAGACTATTGCTTATGGAAAGAGGTAAACAGTAGTTTTAATTTCTTTTAGGTTAAGAATCTCTGAGAATGTGATGAAACTTACTAATTATATGATGAGCATTTTATAAACTTCTAGAAGACTGTCATTGCTCCCAGATTAAAAGTATAAAGTTAGCCAGGTGTGGTAGCGCATGCCTATAATCCCAGTAGCTCAGGAGGCTGAGGCAGGAAGAAAATCATGAGTTTAAAGCCAGCCTCAGCAAAAGCAAGGTGCTAAGCAACTCAGTGAGACCCTGTCTCTAAATAAAATGCAAAATAGGGCTGAGAATGTGGCTCAGTGGTTGAGTACCCCTGAGTTCAATCCCCGGTAAACACCCCACCCCACCCCCCGCAAAAAAAGTATAAAGTTAATAAATCAGTGAATGTTAGTTGCTATTTCAGATCCTAGAGACCTTTGAAGTCTGTTAATAATAATTTCTCTTGTTAATAAATCTAAAGAACAACATTGAGTGAACAAAAATATGTTCATAGTACGGTACCACTTCGGTAAATTTAAAGATAAAAATTGCTATTTATTGAAGATGAATAGGTATATTATTTGTAGAAATGTTTTTAAAATGTACCTGAAAGCTGGGCGGGTTGGTGCATGCCTGTAATCCCAGCAGCTCAGGAGATTAAGTCAGAAGGATTGCCAGTTCAAACCCAGCCTCAGCAAAAGCAAGGCACTAAACAACTCAGTGAAACCCTGTTTCTAAATAAAACACAAAATAAGCTGGGGTTGTGGCTTGGTGGTTAAGTGCCCCTGAATTCAATCCCCAGTACCCCAAATAAACTGTACTGGAAAGACCCCACTTCTTTTTTTTTTTTTTTTTTTTTTTTTTTTTTTTAAAGCAGTGGGGTGGGGGTGGGGAGTGGAGAGTTTAGGGAAGTCTTAGCATCATCTCTAATACTTTATTTGGGGTGGGGGGGACAAAAAAATCAAAACAAAATTAGACACCAGTATAACAAACTATTAGTTCTGAGTATTGGTAAGGTAAGTGTTTATATGTTATTTATTTTTCTGAAATTTTGTTTTATTTTTAATTTTAAGAAATGAAGCTATTTAATTTTTTTCCTTCAATTTAATTAAACTCTTCTGTTTAATTCAACTAAAAACAATATGACAGGAAATTTGACAATGTGATTGTTTTTAGTCAAATTCAGATTGATTGGTTCTTTTTTTTTTTTTTTAAGAGAGAGAGAGACAATTTTTTAATATTTATTTTTTAGTTTTCGGTGGACACAACATCTTTGTTTGTATGTGGTGCTGAGGATCGAACCTGGGCCGCACGCATGCCAGGCGAGCGCGCTACGGCTTGAGCCACATCCCCAGCCCATTGATTGGTTCTTATATACCAAATTCTATCAGGATTGGTAGGTATTGTTATATATTAAGATTCTGACTCAGATGTGACAGATAATACATTCCAATGTATTTTTTTCTTCTCTTTGACATTTTCTTATACTCTCTCAAAAGACCAAAAAGAGCTTTTGATTTGAAAATGGAAGTAAGGGCTGGGGATGTGGCTCAAGCGATAGCGCGCTTGCCTGACATGTGCGGGGTGCTGGGTTCGATCCTCAGCACCACATAAAAATAAAAAATAAAGATGTTGTGTCTACCGAAAACTAAAAAATAAATATTAAAAAGAAAAAAGAAATAGAAGTAAAAATTGTGGTTGAAAAAAAGGTTGCTTCTTATTTCTAATTAGATAATAGTCACTAAAAAAGAGCAAAGCTGGGGAGCTTCGTTTATTGGAGTAGGGAAAGTAACTGGTTGGGGTGGGCATAGCAGGGGTGCATGTATGTATAGATTGTCTGGGCATATGAATAAGATCTGTTTAGCTTAATGACTTTTTTGTTGTTAAAAGGCTGAGAGACCCTGTGTTTCAGAAGCTTAAGTTATAATGATAGTCTGACTCTTATTTTTAGTTTGTTGTATTTAGATATGTTCTTCATTGATCTTTCAGCCAATTACTAGAACCAAGATCATAATTTTTTTGTTTTTTGTTTTGTTTTGTTGGTTCTGGGGATTGAACCTAGGGGCACTTTACCACTGAGCTACATCTCCAGCCCTTTTAATTTTTCATTTTTATATTGAAACAGGGTCTCACTAAGTTTCTGAGGCTGGTCTCAAACTGGTAATCCTCTTGCCTCAGCCTCTCAGGTTGCTGGGATTGGGACTACAGATATGCATTATCACACCCAACAAAACAAAGAATTTTTGTTTCAAACTTAATGTTTTTATTTTACTTTGTTCACGTAAATATTTTTTTCTTGCTCTCAGTATTTTCTCCAGCAAAAGCACTGATTTGAGCAAGTTACTGTCTTTATGATCATTTGATTATTTAAAATGTCTTCCCATTTTCTTGATGTGGCAGTTTCTTAGACTTTACGATATTCAAGTTAATGATCTTTTATGTCTTATTTCTTAGATTATATACTAAACCTAACTTCTGGTTCCTAGGTAAATCAGTAATGTTGTATGCAGCAGAAATGATACCTAAGCTAAAAACAAGGACACAAAAAACAGGAGGTGGTGACCCAAGTCTTCAGCAAGGAGAGGGAAGTAAAAAAGGGAAAGGAAAGAAGAAGAAGTGATCTGGTATGAGCATCAAGTATGTGATCCTGCTATAAGAGACATGAATGAAGAAGACTTCTTTGTATCTGAGGGAAACAGCTTTTTGTTTTCATCATTTGACTGAACTGGGAACATTTATACCTCCCATCTTCATCATCAGAGTTGACAATGAAATAAATAAATCAGAAGTTTGCATCTAACATTTGTACAGTATAAAAGACAAGATATTTGTTGCTTTGGAGGTTTTGTTTTGTCTTTCAATTAAGAGGTTTTGTGGATAAAAGAATATTTTTAAATGGCAGTAGACTGTCTCATAAGTTACTTGAAATCCTGTTTGTCCTCTATGTATGTCAGATAAATGTTTAATAAGATTTTAAATACACATTTTGTTCATCTTTTAAGTTAATGAAATAAAATTTTCAAACTGCCTATGACTTTTGCTTATGAAGCAATTAATGCCAGTAGAGGAGGCATTAAGAGAGTAAATAGGTAGTGTAAACTTGGACAATGCGACCCTACAAGAGAAGAAAATAGTAACTCTTCTTATAGGGGGAGATCAATGAACAGTCAGTCTGTAAATCATTCTTTTAATACTTTACAGTAATCGTTCAGTTTCTGGGGGTTTTGTTTGTTTGTTTGTTTGTTTTTTCTGTAATATAGAAAGTCCTTAAGCTTTAAAATTTGCTGATTTTATATTATCTTAAGGGCTGGGGTTATAGCTCAGTGGTAGAGCACCTGTCTTGCATGTGTGAGGCACTGGTTTTGATCCTCAGCACCACATAAAAATAAGTAAATAAAGAAATTGTGTCTATCTACAACTAAAAAATATTTTTTTAAAAATAAAATAAAAATTATCTTGAACTGAATTGGAAAAGACCTTTAGAATTTCAGAGTACTTTCTAAAAGTGGTGATTTTAAGTAATGCGAGTTCCTATTCTTCCTAAGGACTGATTTAGCTCTTCCTTGAATTCTATGAGCTACTTCATATACTCCAGAAAATCCCATTTTCTGTAATTTTTATTACTTGTGATCAAACAATCCTGATTCCAAACAAGCAAACCCCAAGATTCTAGCTACTCAGAAACCTGAAGTGGGAAGATCACTTGAATCTGGGGTATATAAAGAGATTCTGCCTAAAAAACAAGAATATGGGAGCTAGGAGTGTGGCTCAGCGGAAGAGCACTTGCCTAGCACATGCGAGGCCCTGGGTTCGATCCTCAGCACCACATTAAAAAAAATAAAGGTATTTTGTCCAACTACACCTAAAAAAAGAATATTTCCATTTGTTTAATATTTTGCTCCTTAAAAATTTTTATATAAACATAAGTACTGGAATTGGGGAAGTATGTGTAAAACATGATTCAGGACTTCCCTCTTTGGAAAAGTAGATCTTTTAGGAATATGGTTGGCTGTGAAATAGAAAACAATGAGTAATATAGGCAGGACCTTTTTTTTTTGGCTGGTGGGAGGGAGGCATAATCACTGAGGTACATCCCCAGCCCTCTTTATTACTAAAGTATTTACTTTTAGATGAACACACAATATCTTTATTTTTGTGTGGTGCTCAGGATCAAACCCAGTGCCTTACACATGTGAGGCGAGTGCTTTACCACTGAGCTACAGCCCCAGCCCCCCTTATTATTATTTTGAGACAGAATCTCGCTAAAGTTGCTGAGGCTGGCCTCAAACTTGCTATCCTGCCTTAGCTTCTCAGGTTGCCAGGATTACAGGCATGTAGCACCACACCCATCTATGACTTTATTGTTTTTTTAATAACATGAAACCCAAAGGAGATTATTCTAGTTGTTGGTTCAGCTCTTAGTGATGCCCTTTGTGTCTTTCTACTTTACTGTCCATGGCATGTTCCTAAGATTCTTATATTTATTATAAGAAAGGGCTGACTTGGCACCAAACTTATTACATAAAGTGCAAGGCTAGCTACAAAGCAAGCCAGAAACAATGGTCCACACCTGTAATTCCAGCGATGTGGGAGACTGAGGCAGGAGAACAGCAAATTCAAGGCCAGTCTCAGCAAGTTAGCGAGACCCTGTCTCAAAAAATAAAAAGAGCTGGAGATGTAGGTAAAGCTCTCCTGGTTTCAGTCCCCAGTACCAGAAATAAATGAAGCCAGGTGCTATGGCACATATTTATAATCCTAGCAACTCGGGAAGATGAGTCAAAAGGATGGTAAGTTCAAGGCCAGCCTCATCAACTTAGCGAGACCCTGTCTCAAAAAAAAAAAAAAATTGGTGGGCTGCAGACATAGCTCAGTGGTGAAGTGCACCTGGAATCAACCCCAGTACCAAATAAATAAAAAGCAAAAAAATTCTTAAAATCCTTCCCAGAAGACTTAAGTCTCAGTAAGAGTTGTGGTACACATCTATCTAGCTTCAAGAGAGGCTGGGAAAGTGAAATTGTAGCTTTTTCAACACTTATCAGTAGAGGCATCAAAGGAAGAAAGTAGTTAAGAATGGATACTGAGGCAACAAGCTTGAAAATTTTGTCACAGAAAGATGACTGGAATCTAAACTGTGGAGCAATAAGGATTGCCAAGGTTTTAAAACTACTTCTGTAGCAATATATTGCTGTTTCTAAAGCAATTGGCACAGAGAGGAATTTTTCTCATTTGCCAATAGTTAATTGAAAAATTGGAATCTTTTTTCCAGTGAGCAAGGCTGAACATTTGTTCATATGTGAGATGCTATTTATATTTATTTCATTGAACTGTGTTCATATCCTTGGCCCACCCTCTTTTTAAGGACTTTATTATGAAAATTATACAGAATTTGATAAGCCAGCTAGTTTTCAGTTTTAGGTATTGAGTTCCATCTGTACAGAGAGGGGATTTAGTTTTCCTTTCTTTTCTCTAATCACACATGTGTTTCCCATCTTACCTATATATTTCATAATTTTAATTACTATTCATAGTTTATTATCATACATTTCATTAATAGCTGAGCCATGTGGTACCTTTGCTACTCAAAGGTATGTTAAGGGCTGGGGATGTAACTCAGTGAGTCATAGAGCACTAGCCTAGCATTCATAAAGCCCTAGGTTTGATCCCCAACACCACCAAAAAAAAAGATGGTCATGGGTCCAGCAGGACTGGGTTCCCTTGGGTACTTGCAAAAAATTCAATATCTCTGGGCCAGTCCACAATTCAGATATATGTAGTGGGACTGCAGATGATTCTTAGGCACATTAAAGTTAGAAGAGGGGCTGGAACTGTGGCTCAATGGTAGAGTGCTCACCTAATGTGTGAGGCACTGGGTTCGAGTCTCAGCACCACATAAAAAAAATAAACAAAGATATTGTGTCCATCTACAAGTGAAAAAAAATTAAAAAAAATAAAGTTAGACGAGGGCTGGGGTTGTGGCTCAGTAGTAGAGCACTTGCCTAGCACATGGGAGGCCCTACAACCAAAAAATAAATATTAAAAAAAATTTAGAAGTATATGGTAGGTTTGTTTCCTGGACTTTTCTCTTGAACTAGTTATTATTTTGTTCTTTCATTTGATTAGTTTTTAAAATATTTGTCACTAATTCTATTACAAATTTTCAGTTATAAAAATGTCTTTTCAAAAAGTTTGTTTGCATCAGTTTATTTCATCTTTGGAAAGAAAACTTCAGGACCCTGTGCCTGGCTCTGGTCCCTTCGGACCTAGTGCACAGCTGCACTCAGGTTTCACTCTCTGCCATCTTCTAGAATACGACTCATGTCACTGCTGTTGTGGAGCTCAGTATATCCCATGGATTCTGCTTACATTACTGTGTGTGTTGCTTATCTTCTTTATCTTCCTGAGGTGGAAAAAATGCAAGGGAGATAAATATTCCTAGACCTTGCATGTCTAAAAATGGCATCCTTCTGCCTTTACACTGGCTAGGTATTACACTTGAAAATCATTTTATTTCAGAAAGTCAAGGGAATTTCTTTATGGTCTTCTGACCTCTGTTGTAGCTAAAGGGAAGTTCAAGCTATTCTAGTTCATGACCTTTTGTGACCCACAAAACTCACATCTGGGTCTCAGTATTCTAAAATATCGCCAACAGTGTGCTTTGGGTTATTTTTTGACCATTATTCTGAGTGAGTTGGCCCTTTGAATTTGGAAACTTGGGCTCTTCAGTTCTGGGAAATCTTGAAAATTTCACTGATGATTTTTCTCTCATATTTGACCTTTTTTGTAACTTATTTGAAACATTAGGTCTGCTGGACTAGTCCTCAAATTTTCTTTTTTTTCCCCCTCTTCCCATTTCTTTGCTTTTTTATTTTTTAATTTTTTTTTAGTTGTCAATGGACTTTTATTTTATTTATTGATACGTGGTGCTGAGAATCGAACCCAGTGCCTCACACATGCTAGGCAAGTGCTCTGGCACTGAGCCACAACTCCAGCCCCTTTTCTTTGCTTTTAAGTTCTAGTATTTAGATTTTCTCAGCCATCTTTCAACCTTTCTATCAAATTTTTCATTTATCTTTTCAATTTCTGTAAGCTTTTTTGGCATCTGCAAGTTTCCTTTTTCAAGCATTTTATTCTTATGTATGTAATTTCTTATTTCTCAGAGGGTAAAATTTATAGCCTTATCAAGTTCCTTTTTGTTGTTGTTGTTATTTTTATTTTGATCCCTTTTACATTAAGTGATTTTCCTTGGATTGCTGGGGTAATTTTAAGAGTGAAAGACCATTTGGAAGATTGAAGCAGGAGGATTGCAGGTTTGAGGCCAGCCTGGACAACTTAGTGAGAGCATGTCTCAAAAAGGTCTGGGGATGGAACTCAGTGGTAGAGCACTTGTCTAGAATTTGTGAAGCTCTGGGTTTTATCCCCAGTAAGGGGAGGGGGGTGGGGTGGAGGAAGTGGCCAGAGGAAAAAGGAAGTTCTGAGCACATACGCAGGGTTTGCAGCCTATAAGCTTCACTAAAGGGAATATCTTGTTCCTTCGTGGTTGGAAGAATTTCCAATATCAGAATCATAATCAACTTCCTCAAAGAGGAGTCTTAAAATATTCCAGTAAGATAAAGTTCTGCTTGGAGCCTAGTGAATGAAAGTTGGATAGGGAAAGTTAGTCTCAGCTTTTAACCATTGGTTTAATACAATAGCTCTCCCTCAGCTCTGCCTGTGTCTCCCGTTTTTATTGTCTCAGAGGATAAACCTCCATTCTTTTACCTGGAGAGGAAAGAGTAGGTTTTCACCAATCCTCCTTATTTTAGCTCCCTTCTAACATTAAAATTGCTCCGTGCAGTTATTTTTATTAAGTATATGAAATTTCCATGTTACCATAGAGTTTTATATCACACTAGTTCAAATGACTTTTTTCTACAATTACTCTAATAGATCTTTTGGGATTTTTTGAGTCATCATCCCTAACATGTGGCTTTATCATTGACCTTGAAGCTAAACAAATAAAATTCCAAATGGCTAAACTTTTAAATGAATGGAATA